CTTGTACATGTACTTGTATACCTGTACATGTACTTGTATACCTGACAATGTATTGTATACCTGTACAATGTACTTGTATACCTTTTAATGTACTTGTATACCTTGTACTTGTACTGTATACCTTGTACATGTACTTGTATACCTTGTACATGTACTTGTATACCTTGTACATGTACTTGTATACCTTTACATGTACTTGTATACCTTGTACATGTACTTGTATACCTTGTACATGTACTTGTATACCTTGTACATGTACTGGTATACCTTGTACATGTACTGGTATACCTTGTACATGTACTTGTATACCTTGTACATGTACTTGTATACCTTGTACATGTACTGGTATACCTTGTACATGTACTTGTATACCTTGTACATGTACTTGTATACCTTGTACATGTACTGGTATACCTTGTACATGTACTTGTATACCTTGTACATGTACTTGTATACCTTGTACATGTACTTGTATACCTTTTACATGTACTTGTATACCTTGTACATGTACTGGTATACTTGTACATGTACTTGTATACCTTGTACATGTACTTGTATACCTTGTACATGTACTGGTATACCTTGTACATGTACTTGTATACCTTGTACATGTACTTGTATACCTTGTACATGTACTGGTATACCTTGTACAGTACTTGTATACCTTGTACATGTACTTGTATACCTTGTACATGTACTGGTATACCTTGTACATGTACTGGTAACCTGTACATGTACTGGTATACCTTGTACATGTACTTGTATACCTTGTACATGTACTTGTATACCTTGTACATGTACTTGTATACCTTGTACATGTACTTGTATACCTTGTACATGTACTTGTATACCTTGTACATGTACTGGTATACCTTGTACATGAACTTGTAGAAATAGTTATCATTATAAAATGAAAATATCTGAAAGTAAGTAATGTGTATACTGTACAGTAGGACCTACGTATCCACAGGGGATACGTTTTAAGTATCTGCCGTGGATAGTAGCAAACCCTATATATATATATATATATATATATATATATATATATATGTATATATATTGTTTACATACATTCCTATTATTAAGTTTAATTGATAAATTACACACATTAAGTGGAGAATTATTGCTTTTTCACTGATGGGAGACACTTCACTGCTTCTCTTAGGTCTTGAAGAACTACTACCATCACTGCTTTAGAGGTTATTATTAAGAAAATTAAAAGTTATTTTCGGGTCACAGTAAACCCTGGATAACTGAAACTGCGGATACTAGACCCATGGATAGGGGGTTTCTGTTGTATATGCAGTTTTTAGGTCTAGATATATAGCTCACTTAATATGAGAGTGGCAAAATGTTATCAGAATTTTACACGCAATTGAAAAATGAAAAAAGACTGTTGAAATTTACATCAGTAGCCTGGAACCTAACCTGCTGTATAAGCAGGGTGCTACAGTAGCCTGGAACCTAACCTGCTGTATAAGCGGGTGCTATCATAGCCTGGAACCTAACCTGCTGTATAAGCAGGGTGCTACAGTAGCCTGGAACCTAACCTGCTGTATAAGCAGGGTGCTACAGTAGCCTGGAACCTAACCTGCTGTATAAGCAGGGTGCTACAGTAGCCTGGAACCTAACCTCTGTATAAGCAGGTGCTACAGTAGCCTGGAACCTAACCTGCTGTATAAGCAGGGTGCTTACAGTAGCCTGGAACCTAACCTGCTGTATAAGCAGTGCACATTAGTAGCCTGGAACCTAACCTGCTGTATAAGCAGGGTGCTACAGTAGCCTGGAACCTAACCTGCTGTATAAGCAGGGTGCTACAGTAGCCTGGAACCTAACCTGCTGTATAAGCAGGGTGCTACAGTAGCCTGGAACCTAACCTGCTGTATAAGCAGGGTGCTACAGAGCCTGGAACCTAACCTGCTGTATAAGCAGGGTGCTACAGTAGCCTGGAACCTAACCTGCTGTATAAGCAGGGTCCTACAGTAGCCTGGAACCTAACCTGCTGTATAAGCAGGGTGCTACAGTAGCCTGGAACCTAACCTGCTGTATAAGCAGGGTGCTACAGTAGCCTGGAACCTAACCTGCTGTATAAGCAGGGTGCTACAGTAGCCTGGAACCTAACCTGCTGTATAAGCAGGGTGCTACAGTAGCCTGGAACCTAACCTGCTGTATAAGCAGGGTGCTACAGTAGCCTGGAACCTAACCTGCTGTATAAGCAGGGTCCTACAGAAGCCTGGAACCTAACCTGCTGTATAAGCAGGGTCCTACAGAAGCCTGGAACCTAACCTGCTGTATAAGCAGGGTCCTACAGAAGCCAGGAACCTAACCTGCTGTATAAGCAGGGTGCTACAGTAGCCTGGAACCTAACCTGCTGTATAAGCAGGGTCCTACAGAAGCCTGGAACCTAACCTGCTGTATAAGCAGGGTTCTACAGAAGCCTGGAACCTAACCTGCTGTATAAGCAGGGTCCTACAGAAGCCTGGAACCTAACCTGCTGCATAATCAGGGTCCTACAGAAGCCTGGAACCTAACCTGCTGTATAAGCAGGGTCCTACAGAAGCCTGGAACCTAACCTGCTGTATAAGCAGGGTCCTACAGAAGCCTGGAACCTAACCTGCTGTATAAGCAGGGTGCTACAGTAGCCTGGAACCTAACCTGCTGAATAAGCAGGGTCCTACAGAAGCCTGGAACCTAACCTGCTGTATAAGCAGGGTCCTACAGAAGCCTGGAACCTAACCTGCTGTATAAGCAGGGTGCTACAGTAGCCTGGAACCTAACCTGCTGTATAAGCAGGGTTCTACAGTAGCCTGAAACCTAAACTGCTGTATAAGTAGGGTGCTACAATAGCCTGGAACCTAACCTGCTGTATAAGCAGGGTGCTACAGTAGCCTGGAACCTAACCTGCTGTATAAGCAGGGTGCTACAGTAGCCTGGAACCTAACCTGCTGTATAAGCAGGGTGCTACAGTAGTCTGGAGCCTAACCTGCTGTATAAGCAGGGTGCTACAGTAGCCTGGAACCTAACCTGCTGTATAAGCAGGGTGCTACAGTAGCCTGGAACCTAACCTGCTGAATAAACAAGGTGCTACAGTAGCCTGGACCCTAACCTGCTTCATAAGCAGGGTGCTACAGTAGCCTGGAACCTAACCTGCTGTATAAGCAGGGCCCTACAGTAGTGTGGAACCTAACCTGCTGTATAAGCAGGGTGCTACCATAGCCTGGAGCCTAATCTGCTGTATAAGTGGGGCCATACAGTAGCCTGGAACCTAACCTGCTGTATAAGCAGGGCACTACAGTAGCCTGGAACCTAACCTGCTGTATAAGTAGGGTCCTACAGTAGCCTGCAACCTAACCTGCTATATACGCAGGGTGCTACAGTAGCCTGGAACCTAACCTGCTGTATAAGCAGGGCCCTACAGTAGCCTGGAACCTAACCTGCTGTATAAGCGGGGTCGTACAGTAGCCTGGAACATAACCTGCTGTATAAGCAGGGTCCTACAGTAGCCTGGAACCTAAACTGCTGTATAAGCAAAGCCCTACAGTAGCCTGGAACCTAACCTGCTGTATAAGCGAGGCCCTACAGTAGCCTGGAACCTAACCTGTTGTATAAGCAGGGCCCTACCATAGCCTGAAACCTAATCTGCTGTATAAGCAGGGCCCTACAGTAGCCTGGAACCTAACCTGCTGTATATGCGAGGCCCTACAGTAGCCTGGAACCTAACCTGCTGTATAAGCAGGGCCCTACAGTAGCCTGGAACCTAATATTCTGTATAAGTTGGGCTCTAGAGTAGCCTGGAACCTAATCTGTATAAGCGGGGCCCTAGAGTAGCCTGGAACCTAACCTGCTGTATAAGCGGGGTTGTACAGTAGCCTAACCTTCTATATAAGTGGGGTCGTACAGTAGCCTGGAGCCTAACCTGCTGTATAAGCAGGGCCGTACAGCAGCCTGGAACCTAACCTTCTGTATAAGCAGGGCCCTACAGTAGCCTGGAACCTAATCTGCTGCATAAGCTGGGCCCTACAGTAGCCTGAAACCTAACCTGCTGTATAAGCAAGGCCCTACAGTAACCTGGAACCTAACCTGCTGTATAAGCAAGGCCCTACAGTAACCTGTAACCTAACCTGCTGTATAAGCAAGGCCTTACAGTAACCTGGAACCTAACCTGCTGTACAAGCAGGGCCCTACAGTAACCTGGAACCTAACCTGCTGTATAAGCAAGGCCCTACAGTAACCTGGAACCTAACCTGCTGTATAAGCAAGGCCCTACAGTAACCTGGAACCTAACCTGCTGTACAAGGCCCTACAGTAGCCTGGAACCTAACCTGCTGTATAAGCAACGCCCTACAGTAACCTGGAACCTAACCTGCTGTATAAGCAAGGCCCTACAGTAACCTGGAACCTAACCTGCTGTATAAGCAAGGCCCTACAGTAGCCTGGAACCTAACCTGCTGTATAAGCAAGGCCCTACAGTAACCTGGAACTTAACCTGCTGTATAAGCCAGGCCCTACAGTAACCTGGAACCTAACCTGCTGTATAAGCAAGGCCCTACAGTAACCTGGAACCTAACCTGCTGTATAAGCAAGGCCCTACAGTAACCTGGAACCTAACCTGCTGTATAAGCAAGGCCCTACAGTAACCTGGAACCTAACCTGCTGTATAAGCAAGGCCCTACAGTAACCTGGAACCTAACCTGCTGTATAAGCAAGGCCCTACAGTAACCTGGAACCTAACCTGCTGTATAAGCAAGGCCCTACAGTAACCTGGAACCTAACCTGCTGTACAAGGCCCTACAGTAGCCTGGAACCTAACCTGCTGTATAAGCAAGGCCCTACAGTAACCTGGAACCTAACCTGCTGTATAAGCAAGGCCCTACAGTAACCTGGAACCTAACCTGCTGTATAAGCAAGGCCCTACAGTAACCTGGAACCTAACCTGCTGTATAAGCAAGGTCCTACAGCACCATAAATAACGATAATAAGGAAATCTCAACAGGTTTTCAAAACATTCTTTTGCAACTCCAGTTATTCTTTATTGACCTTGGATAACTAACAAAATTTCAGTAAGGATTCCTTTAATGTTGCAGTTTTTAGGTTCCAGTTTAAAAACTGTAGTGTAAAGCACCCTTCTGGCAAGACAGTGATGGAGTGAATGATGGTGAAAGTTTTTCTCTTTCGGGTCACCCTGCCTTGGTGGGAATCGGCCAGTGTGATAATAATAAAACAAAAAAATAATAAACCTTTTTTACTAAAACTGAGCAAGGAAAACAGACCTTTGCTGCCTAATTTGGGTGACAAATTTTTTTTCCATTTTTATTTTTGGTGTCAAAAATAAGTACCAAGCACAAATTTGGGACATAGTATGAAGAAAACAGTAATGTTCATCCATAAGAAATTGGGATGGAGAAAAAAAGAAAGAAAGAAAAAAAAAACTCTGTTCTGGTTTTAGAGATGAAAATACCAAGCACAAATTTGGGACATAGTATGAAGAAAACAGTAATGTTCATCCATAAGAAATTGGGATGGAGAAAGAAAGAAAGAAAGAAAAAAAAAAACTGTTCTGGTTTTAGAGATGAAAATACTATATTCCAGGAGGAAAAGACTTGTGTGTCGAGGACAGTTGCTTGAATGTAGATGTGATGTATTGGCCAGGAGAAATTTGAGGACATAGGGAAGGACGTGGAAGGTGTTAAAATCTGCATGGCAGACTCTGCACTAGGGAGTTGACTGCATGCATCATCCTTAACAGCTGTTGTGGTCCTGGACCAACCCCAGCCATTACTTCTTCCACGGTCTGGAGCCTGTAACAAACATTATAACATAATATCTGTATTTACTACAAGTACATGTACAAGGTATACAGACCCTAGCTGATATCGATGATATACTACTACAGTGGACCCCCGGTTAACGATATTTTTTCAGTCCAGAAGTATGTTCCGGTGCCAGTACTGACCGAATTTGTTCCCATAAGGAATATTGTGAAGTAGATTAGTCCATTTCAGACCCCCAAACATACACATACAAACGCACTTGCATAAATACACTTACATAATTGGTCACATTCGGAGGTAATCGTTATGCGGGTGTCCACTGTATATATAGAAAGCCGCTTGTTATGATGAGCATTCCAAGCAAGTTAGGTCAGTCTTGTCCCAGGATGTGACCCACACCAGTCAACTAACTCCCAGGTACCCATTTTACTGATGGGTGAACACAGACAACTGGTGTAAAGAAACACGTCCAATGTTTCTTCCCTCACTGGGAATCGAACCCAGACAATCGCCATGTGAAGCGAGACCTTTAGCCACCAGGCCACGGGACACCATACATTATAACCAGTACCGTCTCTTCATTAACTGATAACAATTATCATAATTACTTATTCTGTCCTACCATAGCACATTCTTCTTATGCTGCTCACCTTTAAGAACACTCATGCCGTACGTTCTTATACAAGGAAGGATACAATTGTTCATGCTATACCAATCTCTCGTACATGTATGTAAGTAGCATAACTACATCAGCACATCTTACCAGGCTCTTACATTTAACCACAACTACTCCTAAAGAACAGTTCATAATACCATGACTGGAACAATTCATAAATAATCCACAACCTCATAGTACCATGGCTGGAACAATTCACAAATAACCCATAAACTCACAATGCCATGGCTGGAACAATTCACCAAACTCCTGCACTCAGGAGAGGGATCTCATGATGATATTTCACTCCTTCCTTGACCACTGTCACATGACATCACAGTCTAATGACCTGACAGAGATCCAGGATGGACCCTGACAGATCCAGGATGGGCCCTGACAGAGATCCAGGATGGGCCCTGACAGATCCAGGATGGGCCCTGACAGAGATCCAGGATGGGCCCTGACAGAGATCCAGGATGGGCCCTGACAGAGATCCAGAATGGACCCTAACAGAGATCCAGGATGGACCCTGACAGAGATCTAAGATGGACCCTGACAGAGATCCAGGATGGACCCTGACAGAGATCCAGGATGGGCCCTGACAGAGATCCAGGATGGGCCCTGACAGAGATCCAGGATGGATCAAAGCATCGTAAGTTCCTTTGCTAAGTTTGGCTTTTTGTTAAGCAACCACGTCTTCACATATCTCATGTAGCTGCATTTCTTCCTATCATTCTCCTCAAAATCAAGACCTTAACACTACAGTAATACTCAATGTTGATGAGAAAAAACTGATTCATGGCCTGGGCTACCGTCTGTGTGGAGTTTGCACCTTCTGGTTTTGAACTGCCTGGTGGAAGGTGTTACTTACAAAATTTGCTGTGCAAACATTTATTCCTTGATTTAACTCTGTTGTAATGAGCGCTAAAGGTACACTGTGCACCCATCATGTTTATATCAATTAGCCTACGGTAAAACTGGTTTCGTTATACAGGTTGACCTTCACTAATCTGGCATCCTTGGGACCTGTAGTGTGCAGGATTAGTGAGTTTGCTGGATTATACAGTGGTTAGGTTAGAATACACTTAATTAACCTATCAATAGAGACTTTCTGCTACATCTCCTCATTTTCATAACTGCTTTCTCCTCCACTGGCTTGTTGCTGTGGATTTACAACCATTTACACAATTTCTGAGTCAGTATAATGATGAAATCTGAGTCAGTATAATGATGAAATCTGAGTCAGTATAATGATGAACTCTGAAATTATGCTAGCCGAAATCAGTGCCAGATTACTGATGGAACCAGATAACTGATTGCCGGATTAGTGATGGCTGACCTGTACATCATTTCGCTTAAATTTGCAGTTTCCAAGACCCTATCGATGATGTTAAGTGAGGATTGACTGTACCAATCACTGGTTGTCTATATTCACCCATCAGTAAAATGGGTACCTGGGAGTTAGTTGACTGGTGTGGGTTGCATCCTGGGACAAAACCGGCATTAATTTATTACATGTAAACTACACATTGTACTGTACAAATTCATTTTCAGAAATTAATATTACTTACCTTGGTGCAGAAATTAACATTACTTACCTAGCACCTCTGTGCTGAGCAAGCAAGCACAATAATCATTAACAAGATTATTTTTAGCTGGGATACAAGACAGCTAAATCAATATTAAATACAGTGGACCCTCAAGTTCAGAACCGCTCCTAACACGACAGATTATGTAAGTGTATTTTTGTAAGTGATTTTGTAAGCGTATTTTCAGTGGTCTGATACAGATTAATCTATTTTACATTATTCCCGATGAGAGGAAATTCATTCGGTAACAGCACTTGACCAGCCGTCTGGAACGAAAAAAGTTCTAAACTCGAGGGTCCACTGTACAAAATTCCGTGGATGCCTGATGCCCCACCAGCGTGCCTGGTACCCAGGTCACTTTCAACAGTATGAAACAAATGAAACAACATGGTATAAACTATGGACATGATGAAGACAGATTATAAATACTGTCAAAACATTTTTTTTTTTTTTATTATCACACTGGCCGATTCCCACCAAGGCAGGGTGGCCCAAAAAGAAAAACTTTCACCATCATTCACTCATTACATGTTTCACTGTAAACACCTGGTCCACACACCCCCTACCTTTCCTAAAGCCTCCTTGTTCATCTGCTATCCTATTCTCCGTCTTACTCTTAATTCTTTCAATAATAACTCTACCATACACTTTACCAGGTATACTCAGCAGACTTATCCCCCTATAATTTTTGCACTCTCTTTTATCCCCTTTGCCTTTATACAAAGGAACTATGCATGCTCTCTGCCAATCCCTAGGTACCTTACCCTCTTCCATACATTTATTAAATAATTGCACCAACCACTCCAAAACTATATCCCCACCTGCTTTTAACATTTCTATATCTATATCTATCTCTATATACATGTATATATATATATATCTCCAGTGGAAGAATGGTTGGTTTAGAGAAGGACCTGCCTAGTATGGGCCAGTAGGCATTCTGCAGTATTCCTAGGAACATTCTTATATGCAAGAGAAGGCATAAAATCTGTCATAGGTTTTTGAACGTCAACCCACATGGCTAAGTATATAATGAGATTTGTCACGACTGACCTGAGGTTGCCTATTGTAATAGAGGCTGATGGGTGAAGTGTGTAAAGCTTGTCAGGGGTGGGTTGTGGTGGCTCCAGGCGGACCATCACGTCCAGACTAACGTGGGCTTTCTGACTGAAATGTGTCACCATCACACTGGAAAAGTGAAGCAAAATTATCATTTAGTCAATCATGGTGTACATGTGTGGCAACATCTAACAGAAAGCTCAAACAGGAGGGCCCCGTTTCTATGGCTGTTATATTCCTAAACCCCCGGCGATAAGCGAAAATTGCCGGCGAGTGGAAAAAAAGTGTTTTTTTTCAAAATCAAATGTGTCTAAAACACCTGATAATATATTTACACAATATTAAATACTCAATACAGCTAGACATAAAAAAAACAGATACAAAAGTAAAATAAATATACAATACATAGAATACTTATCTTAAAATATGGTGATGGTCACCCTACCCTTACACAACTGCTGTACGAAAACGACGGAAAAGTGGCTAAAGCACTGAACATATTGAACAATGACTCAATTGGAAGTCAACAAAAAATGTGGAACACAGAAAAAGAGGCACATTTGGGGGGCCCTCCTGTACTTAAAAAAAAAGAGGCGTCAAGTTGTACTGGGAGAAATTTAAAGATTTAAAGGCAATGTACAGTTGTACTGTTTTTTTTTTTATTATTATCACACTGGCCGATTCCCACCAAGGCAGGGTGGCCCCTTGCCAGAAGGGTGCTTTACACTACAGTTTTAAACTGCAACATTAACACCCCTCCTTCAGAGTGCAGACACTGTACTTCCCATCTCCAGGACTCAAGTCCGGCCTGCCGGTTTCCCTGAACCCCTTCATAAATGTTACTTTGGTCACACTCCAACAGCACGTCAAGTATTAAAAACCATTCGTCTCCATTCACTCCTATCAAACACGCTCACGTACGCCTGCTGGAAGTCCAAGCCCCTCTCACACAAAACCTCCTTTACCCCCTCCCTCCAACCTTTCCTAGGCCTACCCCTACCCCGCCTTCCTTCCACTACAGACTGATACACTCTTGAAGTCATTCTGTTTCGCTCCATTCTCTCTACATGTCCGAACCACCTCAACAACCCTTCCTCAGCCCTCTGGACAACAGTTTTGGTAATCCCGCACCTCCTCCTAACTTCCAAACTACGAATTCTCTGCATTATATTCACACCACACATTGCCCTCAAACATGACATCTCCACTGCCTCCAGCCTTCTCCTCGCTGCAACATTCATCACCCATGCTTCACACCCATATAAGAGTGTTGGTAAAACTATACTCTCATACATTCCCCTCTTTGCCTCCAAGGACAAAGTTCTTTGTCTCCACAGACTCCTAAGTGCACCACTCACCCTTTTCCCTTCATCAATTCTATGATTCACCTCATCCTTCACAGACCCATCCGGTGACACGTCCACTCCCAAATATCTGAATACATTCACCTCCTCCATACTCTCTCCCTCCAATCTGATATCCAATCTTTCATCACCTAATATTTTTGTTATCCTCATAACCTTACTCTTTCCTGTATTCACTTTTAATTTTCTTCTTTTGCACACCCTACCAAATTCATCCACCAATCTCTGCAACTTCTTTTCAGAATCTCCCAAGAGCACAGTGTCATCAGCAAAGAGCAACTGTGACAACTCCCACTTTATGTGTGATTCCTTATCTTTTAACTCCACACCTCTTGTCAAGACCCTCGCATTTACTTCTCTTACAACCCCATCTATAAATATATTAAACAACCACGGTGACATCACACATCCCTGTCTAAGGCCTACTTTTACTGGGAAATAATTTCCCTCTTTCCTATGTACTCTAACTTGAGCCTCACTATCCTCGTAAAAACTCTTCACTGCTTTCAGTAACCTACCTCCTACACCATACACCTGCAACATCTGCCACATTGCCCCCCTATCCACCCTGTCATAAGCCTTTTCCAAATCCATAAATGCCACAAAGACCTCTTTAGCCTTATCTAAATACTGTTCACTTATATGTTTCACTGTAAACACCTGGTCCACACACACTGGTGCAACAATAAATAGAAGACTTGAAGGCAGTTTAACCTCTTCAGGGTCCAAGGCCAAAATCTGAAGTGGTGCCCCAGTGTCCAAGAATTTTCAAAAAAAATTTTGTTATTTTTTCTTATGAAATGGTAGAGAATCTTTTTGTGAAGGTAATAAAACAAAAAGTACGAAATTTGATGGAAAATTGACGAAACTATACTCTCGCGAATTTTGATGTGTCAGCGATATTTACGAATCAGCGATTTTCCCGACTTTGACTCCCATTTTAGGCCAATTACATTATTCCAGTTGACCAAATTCTTATCTATTTCACTAGTATAACTTCTATTCTATCGAGTGAGCACAAGAAATCACCAAGTCAACTGTTTCAACTACAAATTAAAGTGATCGGAAATTGGTAATTTGGCCTATTTAACACAAAGTTCAAAATATTCCAATTTCAAAATAGGGTCCAGAATAAACAATGTAGGTATTCCTGGAACTAAACTAACATTTCCTCTGTTCATTAGTTACATTTTGAGGCTTTACAAATAAATTCCATTTTGATTTTTTATTCACATAATGAATTTTTATTCACACCAAAAAATAGAAGGTTTACTGCTATGAAATACTGTAATAATTGTATAAATATCATCACCACATTTGTGAATGTATATTAGACCCACCAGCTGACGTGTATTAGACGTGTGAGGTCGTTTGTTTACTCTTGAACATTGGCAAAAATTTAACATTTCCGCTACTTTGAGCTCAGTTTCAAGCCATTTCCAGTGCTAAAAACAATCAAAATCATCTCTATTTCAGTAATATGTCTTCCATTCTATCAAATGAGACCAAGGAATAGCAAATACAACTATAAAAAACATATGAAAAAACACTGCAAAGTCGCTGTTTTAATCGAAAATCATGGTCTCAGTTTTTTTTCTCTCATAATACACAGTGTGCTGCAGGATTTGTTTTATGTGGTGCACACATACCACATAGATGTATTCTCTCATATCTAGGCCCAAATGTGCCACTCACAGTTTATCAGAGTGAGCTGAGCTCATGACGTAGATCTATGGTTTGGACCCTGAACGTAAAGCCGTAGATCTACGGGACGGACCCTGAAAGGGTTAAGTTGTACCAAGGTAAAAATAAATAATAGATTTGAAGGCAGTATAAACTTGTACTGGGACAGCAATAAATCAATTTCAATATAATACATGTGCTGCGGTATACAATATCAGTAAGTTGATGATAGACACCCGAATATCTCTATTTTAAATTTAAAATAAAAATAACTAGGTGTCATCTTCAACAGTCTTCCATTTACCTCTGTATTGTGTCGATAATAGTCACTGGTTAGTGAAATGTCTGCCATTCAACATACCCAGGTGTTATGCGTGTTTAATTTCTCGTGACACTGTCATGTTGTCATTCTTTATACACAGCATCCCCAACATGGATCCTGGCCCTGGCGTCACTTCCGCTGGTGCTTGCTGCTATGTTATCACTTCATTGGTAAAATATCTAATCTTCAGAACATTTATGACTTGACCTGACCTCAGCTACCTCTTCACATCCCAATATCTTGACCTGACCTCTCACATTTTCTTTCTCACTCTCAAATGCTAATGATCTAGGACAGACTTTTTCATTTTCAGTTTGAGGTTGAGATATAAATCATTTATAACTACTCTGTAAAGTGTAAATTTTTTTGTAAATGTGACTGAAAAAGTTCATTTAAAATATAATACCATATATAATGAAAGTCCATCCATACACTATTCAATTTTGGGTTATTTTTCAATGTAGTTTACAATTGAACCCCAATATCCGTGGCTTCAGTTTCTGCAGTTTCAGTTATCCAGGGTTTACTGTGGCCTGAAAATAAACCTTAAATTTGCTTAATAATGGCCCCAAAGCACAAAAGTAGCGATGCTGGTAGTTCTTCAAAGCCTCAGAGAAGACGTGAAGTGTTTCCCATCGGTGAAAAAAGTGCTAATTCTTCGCTTATTGTGTGTAATTTATCAATTAAAACTTTATCATCGATATGTATGTAAACAAAAAACAACTTATGGGGTCTGCTACTATCCACCATTTCAGGAATCCACCGCAGGTCTTGGTACATGTCCCTTGCTGTTATCAGGGGAACTAATATATATTTTTTCAATGTCATTTACAAAAAATTCTACACTATATAGCGGGCCTTTATAGTACCGTATTTCGCGGATTAGATGCATTTTTTTTTTCCATGTCTCCAAAAACCACTGTGCGTCCTATAAACTGAAGGTCAGTGACGGGAGCTATAAGTTTGGGGTGAACTGTAGCTCTCCCAGTTACGTCCAATGCTGAGCCATTGAAACTAAAACAAGTCATAAGCCACGTCTTACAAGCTGCAAAATACGGTAGTTTACTGTACTTCAATGTCTTAAGAAGTCTGGAAGGTTTTCAAACTTGCTATGATGTAACAATTTCAGAAGCCATGATTAACCATTTCACTGACTGGGCCCTTGAAATGTAAAGTGCTGATATTGTCCATATTTAAAAAAAATTCTTCTGAAATAGTATAGAATCTTTGTGAAAAACTTAAGAGGTTATACAAGAGAAAATTTGGTGGTCTGGATGCAATTTATATGACGGTAATTTCACCTTCTGTACATACAGTGGAACCTCAAAAATCGAACTGCTCCCAACACAACCAGTTATGTAAGTGTATTTTTGTAAGTGCTTTTATAAGTGTATTTTTGAGAGTCTGAAATGGACTAACCTAATTTACATTATTCCTCATGGGAATAAATTAATTCGGTAAAGGCACTTGAACAGCCTTCTGAACCAAAGAAAGTTCGATATTTGAGGTTCCACTGTATTACTAAATGAAAAAAGAAGAAAAACTGTTTACGCTCTCTCGGGTCACCCTGCCTCGGTGGGAGATGGCCGGTGTGTCAAAAAAAAAAAAAAAAACCTTCGATTCTATTGACTGAGTACAAGAAACTGCCCATTCATCAGAACCACCCTATAAAGTGCACAGAAGTCAGTAATTTGGCCAATTTTACACAAAATCCAACAAATTCCACAATGTAGATCTATACAAGCGATACATAAAAGCCAATGAGAGGGTTAATGGGTTTGCCTCACTGACCTGTCTGGGGTAAAGGTGGTCAGGTATGATGCAGACAGCACCTGCAGTTCCACCATCAACTTGATGATGTCTTGGTTGGCGTTGAAAACTTTGACAAGGGCATCACCCATCCCACACAAGGTCAAGCCACACAATTCAATCATGGCTGCGCCTACACGGCAGCCTAGGGTATTCAAAATCAGCTTCCCGTACGTGTTTTCAACCTCTGAAAAAATAAATAAGTTTTGACTGTGGACAGAAAAAAGTTTATAAATTGTTTAAAATATACTGTAAATTGTAATTTTTTTATTAACACAACGGCTGTTACCCACCAAGGCAGGACGACCCGAAAAAGAAGAAACACTTTCACCATCACTTACTCTATCGCTGTCTTGCCAGAGGTGTGCCTACAGTCATCCCAGTAACAATAAAAGGTCCCTAAAGTCACCCCAGTAACAATAAAAGGTCCCTTCACCCCAGTAACAACAAAACTTCACCAAGGTCCCAACAGTCATCCCGGTAACAATAAAAACAGCGAAGTTAAGTAACTTGTGATGAATGGTTTTGAAAAACCGACAAGTTGAAGATTGAGACACTTATGCAACATATGGGAATCTTTATTCAGGAAACGTTTCGCCACACAGTGGCTTCATCAGTCCGATACAAAGTTAAGTAACTTACCTGAAGGCTGTGGGTGCCAGCTGGCACTAGTGATGGTCCAGTGGCTGCCAGATGGAATTCCTTTTAAAATGAGCTCCAGAGGACTGTATTTTAACTGCAGACGTATCTCTCTCTCTGTTGCCTCCTGTACAATCCATGAACGTCCACTGCAAAGTGTGTTTTTACCTCATTATCCACAGGGGTCTTACAACTGTTTGTACAAAAATTACACTATGGTATACAGAGCTGTGGGTCACTTGCACTGGGCAGTTTATGGTAACATAAAACCTTGAATGTAAAATGTGAAAAGATTTTGCAGTTGTAGGGTACTAGGTACTAGTTGTCTTATGGAACTTACAACTTCTTTAATAGATAAATGAAACACCTACAACACCTGCGTACAGGCAGGTCCTGGTTATAGGACGGCCACGCTTATACAGCAGGTTAGGTTCCAGGCTACTGTAGGGCCCCGCTTATACAGCAGGTTAAGTTCCAGGCTACTGTAGGGCCCTGCTTATACAGCAGGTTAGGTTCCAGGCTACTGTAGGGCCCCGCTTATACAGCAGGTTAGGTTCCAGGCTATTGTAAGGCCCTGCTTATACAGCAGGTTAGGTTCCAGGCTATTGTAAGGCCCTGCTTATACAGCAGGTTAGGTTCCAGGCTACTGTAAGGCCCCGCTTATACAGCAGGTTAAGTTCCAGGCTACTGTAGGGCCCTGCTTATACAGCAGGTTAGGTTCCAGGCTACTGTAAGGCCCCACTTATACAGCAGGTTAGGTTCCAGGCTACTGCTGTAGCTTGGAACCTAACCTGCACATAAAAGCCAAATAACATGCTTACACTATCATATATTATGTGAGCAACAGAACTAGGTGCCTAAAAATTACATATACAGTACACACAACTTACCTTAAAACATTTTCGTCCCTAGCTTATTGTGAGTGATACATATATTTAATGTAGGAAGTCTGAATAAATGAAGAATGGACATAACTGAAAACCACTGCATTAGTGAAATGCCATAAAGTGGGGCCCTTTTACATCTTATTTTGAAGATAAAAATGAAGATTGGTATTGAATACCATTAGTTTCAGGGTCCCCTAAAAGAACTAGGGGTAGAAGTTTAACTAGTTACCAGGGACGGTAGATAAGAGCCAGGGGCAGTGGCTTTACCAGTTACCAGGGACAGTAGATAATGAGTCAGGGGTAGTAATTTTACCAGCTACTAGGGTGGGTAGATAATAGAGCCAGGGGTAGTAATTTAAAAAGTTACTAGGAACAGCAGATAAGAGTCAGGGGTAGTAGTTATGGCTACTTACCTAGGTGGGTTGAAGATAGAGCCAGAGGTGAGACAACATCCACTATCACACTTCTGCTGTACAATGTTGAGTGCCATCATGCTCGTTGAAATCTCATTCTCTTGCTCTGTAATCTCAACTGGTGAAAGATAGGATGCAGATTCCATTTTATTCTTCTCAGCATGATTCGGTTGTTCTTGGATGCATGCTGCAATTTGGTCAGCAGGGATGGATGTGTGCAAATCACTCAATAGACCTGACGTCTGTTTTTCATCAGTAAATGATACTGCCAAGTTAGAGATGGATATGTGTGATCCTTCTCCTGGTTCAGCCTGTGAGGATGAGCCTACCACGTACAGCTCCTTATGACAATCCTTTGACCGATTGAGTGATATAGGAGTCATGTTCAAGGCTGTAAAAGAACGACTCTTCACCAAACTATCAACACTCTCAATTGCCGGTGTATCTTTCAACAGCATGAGTGAACAAGACTGACTGATCTGCATCATGCTGGCTAGTTTTATGATGGATGTTGTCAGTGGATCCATTTCAATATCACCTTCGGCAACTAATGACCTATGGTTGTCGATTCTATTGCCTCGTGTTCCTTGGGACTTGGACTCTGATGCCTTTCCGCTTGGCACAGATGAAAGCAAGGGATGACTGTTTACATCACTGACTGAAGAACAGCTGTCAGTACTGTTGTCTGCCATGCTGACAAGTGAAAGGTTAATATCATCCAACATTTCTTCACTGTTTTCTTTATCAGCCAAAACCGTTCTCTCACAGCCATTACTGTCCAGTGAGGGACAAATCTGAGAGGGGTTAAGGGCAGTGGGGGATGGAGAGGATGTTTTTTTAGCAGTGGGGGTTGGAGAGGATGTACTTTTAGCAGTGGAGGTTGGAGAGGATGTATTTTTAGCAGTGCAGGATGGAGGGGATAGATTTTTAGCAGTGTGGGATAGGGAGGATGAGCTATTAGCAGTATGGGATGGAGAGGCTAGGTTACTGTAAGAGGGAGATGCAGGATGCACAGGAGTTTGCAGATTTACATGCAATGAAGTGCAAGATACTTCTCCAGAATCCTTCACCTGATTAACATCATGCTCGGAGTGACTAACATCATGTTCGTGCATCTCATGTGCATCTTCAATACGGCAAGGCTGTATGATCTCATTTTCAGAACTTTTGTTAGTGTAGAGAGAGCTCAAGAGACTCAAAGTGGTGACAGCAGCAGCCTCACCACCTGCATTTTGTACACAGTCATCATTTGCAGTACTTCTACACCTATCTGAATCCAAAATAACAGTCTGGGGAGAACACCCAGACATGTCATAAGTGGAACTTGGGAGAAACAATTCCTTCTTCTCCAGCAAAGATGCAATGATCGAGTTCTTACGCTGAGAACTAGACTCCATTTTTGTCATTCTTTGGATAGGGTCATCTTCAAGCTTACCATCGGGATTTGCTGCACCAGGAGCCTTTATAACTGTACTATGCTTATGGGACAGGTCATCCTGTGCTGTCTTTGCTATGCGAGTCTCTGCGGAAGCCATTGTAATGTTTGTGCTGATCTGTGCTAGTTTACTTTGGGATAACTCTATCTGACTAACTGGATGAGTCTTTTCTGTATTTATACTTATCATGTTGGTCAGATTAGGCTGGCCAATCTGAGGTACTTGACTAATTGAAAAAGTAGGTTCAATGTTCATACCAGTCTGCAACAGTTCATTTCCAGTTTTATTTAGCTGGCTCATTCCACAAGTCAGTTCCATGTCTGCTCCAATCTGGGTTGGATCATTTTGGATCACCTCTGCCACTCCCTTGCTGGGTAAGTCATCTCAATGTCTGTATCAATCATCCGAGTCTGTTCATCTTGGGTTAGCCTTGTCACAGTGCTTGCTGTACAAGGCATCTCTCTCTGTGTTCTGATCTGAATAGGATAATTTTGGATCACCTCTGCCACTTCCCTTGCTGGATAGGTCATCTCCATGTCTGTATCAGCCATCCAAGTCTGTTCATCTTGGATTAACTTTCCTAGCTTGCCTACTGCATAGGTCTGCTCCATGTCTGTGGTGATGGTCTGTGTCACATCCTTCTGAATTACCTTTGACACCTCACCTGTTCCAAAGGTCATGTCTCTGCCTGTCCCAATCTTCCAAGTTGGGTTATTTTCGTGTACTTTTGTCACCTCACTTGCTGGAAATGTCACCTCCATGTCTGTGTTGGTCATCTGGGTCTGTTCACCCTGGATTACCTTCACCACATCACTTGTTGTACAGGTCATCTCCATGTCTGTGCTGAACTTCTGGGTCTGTTCACCTTGGATTACCTTCACCACATCACTTGTTGTACAGGTCGTCTCCATGTCTGTGCTGAACTTCTGGGTCTGTTCACCTTGGATTACCTTCACCACATCAATTGTTGTACAGGTCGTCTCCATGTCTGTGCTGAACTTCTGGGTCTGTTCACCTTGGATTAGCTTCACCACATCACTTGTTGTACAGGTCGTCTCCATGTCTGTGCTGAACTTCTGGGTCTGTTCACCTTGGATTACCTTCACCACATCACTTGTTGTACAGGTCGTCTCCATGTCTGTGCTGAACTTCTGGGTCTGTTCACCTTGGATTACCTTCACCACATCAATAGTTGTACAGGTCATCTCCATGTCTGTGCTGAACTTCTGGGTCTGTTCACCTTGGATTACCTTCACCACATCACTTGTTGTACAGGTCGTCTCCATGTCTGTGCTGAACTTCTGGGTCTGTTCACCTTGGATTACCTTCACCACATCAGTTGTTGTACAGGTTGTCTCCATGTCTGTGCTGAACTTCTGGGTCTGTTCACCTTGGATTAGCTTCACCACATCACTTGTTGTACAGGTCGTCTCCATGTCTGTGCTGAACTTCTGGGTCTGTTCACCTTGGATTACCTTCACCACATCAGTTGTTGTACAGGTCGTCTCCATGTCTGTGCTGAACTTCTGGGTCTGTCCATCATGGATTACCTTTGCCACATCACTTGTACAGGTCATCTCCATGTCTGTGCTGAACTTCTGGGTCAAATTATCTTGGGTTAAACAATCCTCTCTACCCGTCTTCTTAGTATTTATTTCGTGTATGTTACCTGGAAGAAAAAACTGAAATCAAATATTTCAATGACTCACAAAAATAAAAAATTAGCTGGTAAAAAATTACTTGAAAATTTATAGAAAAGGGGTAACAAAAAAGTTACAATTAGTACAATTTCCAATAGTGCAATTTTAAGTGTTTATTAATATGCAAATAACCCGCACATAGAAGAGAGGAGCTTGCGACAACGTTTCGGTTCGACTTGGACCATTTACAAATGGTCCAAATTGGACCGAAACGTCGTTGTAAACTCCTCTCTTCTATTTGCAGGTTATTTGTGTATTGTTCCAGTCACGGTATTGTGCCTTTGTGTTATTTATTTGTTGTTTATTAACCCTTTGAGGGTTTTCGTCGTACTAGTACGTCTTACGCGTAGGGGTTTTTGACGTACTAGTACTCATAAATTCTAGCGACCTCAAATCTAGTGGGAGAAAGCTGGTAGGCCTTCATATGAAAGAATGGGTCTATGTGGTCAGTGTGCACAGTCTAAAAAAAATCCTGCAGCACACAGTGCATAATGAGAAAAAAAAAACTTTGACCATTTTTTTTTAATAAATCAGCGACTTTGCAGTGTATTTTCGTATGGTATTTATTGTTGTATTCTAGTTTTCTTGGTCTCATTTTATAGAATGGAAGACATATTACAGAAATTGAGATGATTTTGACTGGTTTTACAAAGAAAGGTGCCTTGAAATTGAGCTCAAAGTAGCAGAAATGTTCGATTTTTACCAAACTTCAAAAGTACACAAATCGTGCCAAGCGTGCAATACACGTCAACTGGTGAGTCTAATATTCTTTCACAAGTGCACCAATAACATTTATACCATTTTTTACACTAATGCAGTAGTCTGCATAACAGTAAATCTTATATTTTTTGTGAAAATAAAAATTCAAAGTGGAAAGCAAAAGAATATAAGAGGGGCCTTGAGACGTTACTAATGACTAGAGGAAATGTCATTTTAGTGCTAGGAATGTCTTTCTTGTTTATTCTGGACCCTATTCGGAAATTGGCATCTTTTGAAATTTGTGTGAAATTGGCAAAATTGCTAAATTCTGACCACTGTACTGGATAGTTGAATTTCATAAATGAGTGGTTTCTTGCACCCATTCGATAGAAAAAATGGAGTTCTAGCAAAATATTCATGTTTTTTGTCGACTAGTACAGTGAAATTGGCCGAAAATGGGGCTCAAAGTGGGCAAAATCGCCGATGCGTAAACATCGCCGAGACCGCTAACTTTGCGAGAGCATAATTCCGTAGGTTTTCTATCAAATTTCAAACTTTTGGTGTCTTTATGATCGGGAAAAGATTCTCTATCTTTTCATAAGAGAAAATAATTTTTTTTTTTTTAAATTTGGCCGACCCTGAGAACGAGTTTCGGAGAGGGCCTGTCGACCCTCAAAGGGTTAATATTTAAAGCTGATTTAGTGGTCTTAGGTTAACTGGGATTTCCTGAGTATTTTAACTGCTGTGATTTTAACCCTTTGACTGTCATGGCCGTATATATAAGTCTTACGAGGTACCGTGTTTTACGTATACATACTCATAAATTCTAGCGGCTGCAAATCAAGCAGGAGAAAGCTGGTAGGCCCACATGTGAGAGAATGGGTCTGTGTGGTCAGTGTGCACCATATAAAAAAAATCCTGGAGCACGCAGTGCATAATGAGAAAAAAAAAACTCCAACCGTTTTTTTTAATTAAAATGCCGACTTAGTGGTCTATTTTCGTATAGTATTTATGGTTGTATTCTCGTTTTCTTGGTCTCATTTGATAGAATGGAAAACATATTATAGAAATAGAGGTGATTTTGATTGGTTTTTCTATAAAAAGAACCTAGAAATGGAGCTCAAAGTAGGGGAAATGTTTGATTTTTGCCAATGTTCAAAAGTAAACAAATGATGCCATTGTCCAATAAATGTCCAACTAGCCATTCTAATATGCAGTCATGAATGGGTTGATGTTATTTATAGAATTATTACAGTATTGCAGTAGTCTGCATAATAGTAAGTCTTCTATTTTTTGTTTGAATAAAAATTCAAAATAGAAAGCAAGAGTAATATCAGAGGGGCCTGGAGACATGACTGATGAACAAAGAAAATGTTATTTTAGAGCCAGGAATGTCTGCATTGTTCATTCTGGACCTTATTTTGAAATTGTCATATTTTTTAGTTTTCGTGAAATTGACCAAATTGCAAATTTCTGACCACATTATTAGGTAGTTGAAATCGGTAAATGGGCAGTTTCTTGTACTCAATCGACAGAAAAAATGAAGTTCTAAAGAAATAGCTATGAGTTTGGGTGACTGGAACAATTGAATTAGCCGATAATAGGGCTCAAAGTGGGCGAAATCGCCGATTTGTAAACAGCGCCGAGGTCGCTAACTTCGCGAGAGCATAATTCCGTCAGTTTTCCATCAAATTTCGTTTTTTTTTTTGGTGTCATTACAATCGGGAAAAGATTCTCTATCATTTCATAAGAGTTTTTTTTTTTTTTTAAATTTTGTGACACCAGGAGACACCTCAGGATTGAGGGTTGCGACAGTCAAAGGGTTAAGCTGAGAAAGATTATAAATTGATAAATTAACCTCTACTAGAGAATGAGGGAGTTATGCCCAGGAACTGAGCAAGAAAATCACTGGAGTCAGATGTGTCTGCATCATCTCTTGCATCTGAAGCTGATGTTGACTGCAACTCACAAACTGTAAGTAGAGAAGAAACCTTCCTCTGTAAGCCATGTGTGTCATAACAGGAGTAAAATGCTGGGAGCAAGGGGCTAGTAACACCTACATAAATTACTAGATGCAGGGAGCAAGGTGCTAATAACACCTATATAAATTACTAAATGCTAGGAGCAAGGGGCTAGTAACACCTATATAAATTACTAGATGTGGGGAGCAAGGTGCTAATAACACCTATATAAATTACTAAATGCTGGAAGCAAGGGGCTAGTAACACACATATAAATTACTAGATGATGCGAGCAAGGTGCTACCAACACCTGTATAAATACTTCACCAACACTCTGAAGGAGGGGTAAGGTTGTCACAATTCAGGTCATCTGAACTGTGATGTCAGCTTCTGATAAAACAGTAACTGAATGAATGATGGCGAAAGCATTTTTTTTTGTAGGTCGCCCTGCCTTAACAAGAGATATGGGTGTTAAAAAGTCACCTAGCCAAATTAACGATGTTGATTCAAGAAATCGTAATGACACGACTACAAACAAACCACACGTCAGTCTGGAGTTTTATGACTCACCCGTATTGTGGTGGTTTAATGACACTGAATACAGCCTCTCCTCACTTAACGACGGAGTTCCGTTTTTAAGACTCTGTCGATAAATGAATTCGTAGCTAAACAAGGAGCATAATATAATGACAGTGGGTTTGTGTCAACCATCTTTGATATTGTTTTAATGTCACCTTTGCACCATTTATAACATTTCTGGTATATTTTTAAATATTTATGCAGTAGTGTACTGTAATTGCAATAAACAGAATAGAGGAAATCAGCTCTAATATACAGTGGTACCCTGAGTTTTGTACAGCTCTCAACTCGAACAATTATGTAAGTGTATTTTTGTAAGTGCTTTTGTAAGTGTATTTTTGGGGGTCTGAAACAGATTAATCTAATTTACATTATTCCTTATGGGAACAAATCTGTTTGGTAACAGCACTCGAACAGACTTCTGGAACGAATTATGGCCGAAACTCGAGGTACCACTGTACATTACTTAGGTATGCATGCTGGTCAAAGCCCATCATAAGTCCGAGTCATCAGTTAACAAGTATGTCACTAAGTGAGGAGAAGCTGTATAACGAATGACTTGCATACCGAGAAACTGACCTGATGCATCTGTTCGAGTTTTGATATTCAAGAACTGAGAAACAAAATCTTCTGCTTCATCATCATCGGGAAGTATATTAGCTGCTAATGCTGCTGTTTGGAAACCACAACTCAGAGATGACTTGACAAATTCTTCGGTGTTAGTACTGTGGTCAGCATTTTGCACGCACATCCCTGCCTGTAAACATATTAGAATGTGCAAGACCTTACTACATGTATTTTACTGTTAACATAAGTAGGCACCAACATTAATTTTTTCAGTATACCTGTTGTCTCCCACTAAGGCAGGGTGACTCAAAAACGAAACACTTTCACCATCATTGTCTTTGTAGAGGCACGCAGATGTGACAGTTTAGATGTCAATGCAAACAGCCAATATCCCAAGCTCTTATGACTTGGGGGTTATGGTGAGCAGCAACCTTAAGCCAAGACAGCAATGCCTAAGCATACGCAATAAGGCAAATAGATTATTGGGATTTATATCAAGAAGTGTAAGCAACAGAAGTCCAGAGGTCATACTGCAGCTTTATACATCATTAGTAAGGCCTCACCTCACCGGGTGGCCCGGTGGCCTGGTGGCTAAAGCTCCCGCTTCACACACGGAGGGCCCGGGTTCGATTCCCGGCGGGTGGAAACATTCCGACACGTTTCCTTACACCCGTTGTCCTGTTCACCTAGCAGCAAATAGGTACCTGGGTGTTAGTCGACTGGTGTGGGTCGCATCCTGGGGGACAAGATTAAGGACCCCAATGGAAATAAGTTAGACAGTCCTCGATGACGCATTGACTTTCTTGGGTTATCCTGGGTGGCTAACCCTCCGGGGTTAAAAATCCGAACGAAATCTTATCTTATCTTATTATGCAGCTCAGTTCTAAATTCATTAGAAAACATTCAGCGTAGAATGACAAAATTAATACATAGCATTAGAAATCTTCCACATGACGAAAGATTGAAGACTCTTAAGTTACATTCACTTGTTAGACGAAGAATGAGGGGAGACCTGATCGAAGTGTATAAGTGGAAGATAGGTATTAACAAAGGGGATGTAAATAAGGTCTTGAGGATATCTCTCCAAAAGAGAACCTGCAATAATGAATTCAAATCAGAGAAGTTTAGATTTAGAAAGGATATAGGAAAGTATTGGTTTGGAAACAGGGTAGCTGATGAGTGAAACAGTCTGCCTAGTAGGGTTACTGAAGCTAAAACCTTGGGTAGTTTCAAATTTAGGTTGGATAAATACGCGAGTGAGAGGGGTTGGATTTGGGTGGGACTTACATATGAGTAAATAGAATTATCAAAGCTTATTTCTTGGGTAGCATTGAAAATTGGGTTGGGCAAATATTCTGTTAGTGGGATGGATTGTGAAGGACCTGCCTAGCATGGGCCAACAAGCCTGCTGCAGTGTTCCTCCTTTCTCATGTTCTTTAAAGTTAAGGCACTGTACTTCCCACCTCCAGGACTCAAGTCCAGCTAACCGCTTTCCCTGAATCCCTTCACTTAAATTATCCCTTTGATGGGGAATACCTAAAGCTATACCTGTGACAGGGTTACCTAACCTGTTGAGTATTACCAAGAAACTAGCATGAAAATCTTAACACACCTGGCCCATAATGTGTAGCGATGACTCTCTCTTATTCCCATTATCGTCAACATCATCATATCTGAAAAAAATTGATATTATACAAACATTCTTTAAGTGTGAATAAATTTCTATTGCCGTACAGTTTGACTTCTATATCCGTAGGTCTGGTATCCACGGTTTGTAATCTGTGGTTTGCCGTGGCCCAAAAATGACCCTTATTTCTGCTTAATAATGACACCAATGACCCTTAATTTTGCTGCACAATGACGCCAAAGTGCAAAAGTAGTAATGGTGGCAGTTCTTCAGAGCCTTAGAGAAGCCGTGAAGTGCTTCCCATCAGTGAAACAGTGATAACTCTACACTTGTTTGTAATTTATCAATTAACCTTTATAATAGGGATGTATGTAAACATAGAAGACATATACATAGGGTTTGCTAGTATCCAAGGTTGGCGCAAGACATGGTGGAGGCTCGATCCTCCGTCTGCTGAAAAAGAGAGAGGAGAGAGAGAGAGAGACGCCTGCCATTATTCGTCTATATTGCCCCTTCTTCAGAGGGCAAGAACTGTCCTTTTCCACCTCCAGGACTCAAATCTGGCTAAGAGATCCCTTGATTACTTTCAGAAATGTTACCTTCATTACACTCCACCCTTATATTCTTCCCCAGTTAACACACTTCAAGCTAAGATCACTCATCTCTCAATAATAATCACACCCACAATATGCTAATCTCTAACCAATTTTGAAGCAACTCTCACAAAAATTTTATTATCCCTTATCTATTAAACCATTATTACAAACCTAAAAATGTGTTTGTATCATAAAATTAATAACTGAGAAAAATATTGAATATTTGAAGCTTATCTATTAGGTTAAGTCTGCCCGAAATGCTTCGGCATGATAGTAGATTTCTTTGTACCAATCAAATTATGAAATGTAAATATACAGTGTAACCTTTGCAAAGAAATTTTTTTTTTTGTTATTATAATGCGTGTTGGGTTCGGTATCTGCCGAGAGCATAGCTTACCGCATGGATTTGTCAACTGTGCTAATTTCTATTGAGCTGGAGGTGTCTGATGATGCTGGCGTCTCGTATGTGTTGTTCCACACTGTTCCTGCCTCCATCGATGCCAGGAACTCTCTAGTAAGCACAAAATTGTATCAGGAGAAAGAAGAAAAAAAAATCTTATTTTTAGCTTGTCTGAAATATTCTGCAGAACCCGAGCTTTCTATATACTATACATTTTTTCAACAAACCGGCCGTATCCCATGAAGGCAGGGTGACCTAAAAAGAAAAACGAAAGTTTCTCTTTTTAACTTTAGTAATGCATACAGAAGAAGGGGTTACTAGCCCCTTGCTCCCGGCATTTTAGTCACCTCTTATGACACACATGGTATTACAATCCAGGAATCCAAATGGCCTGTTATCCCGGGTGTAATGGGAGCAAAATAAACACAGCAGAAAAAGTTTAGACCTATATTATCCTTCACCAATTTAGAACAGCAATATGTGCACTATGTACAGTGATAAGTATAGTGCACTCCAAGGTAAGCAAGGCAGAAATAGAAGCCACAAGATAGCAGACCGTGCTTCAACCAGCTCTAGATGGGAATGACAAGAGCAGACAGGAGAGCGGTACCCACATAACCTCTGCGATTGCCAAAACCATCTTCTTATTGGCTAGAACCTGGTCACTAGTTGAACGACGGGGCCCCATCATCAACTCTTAGCAACCTGGTTCGCTGGTTGGGGGAGATAGCCTGTAAATGAGGGTGTGTACATGCGCCGAATAAAGGTTACGTACTCTTTGCATGCCACACCCCCACCCCGAGAAGGCTCAGGATTAGGCTGCCACCTCCCAGTGGTAACCGTGCCGCCATGGCACAAAATAATGGGACCACCTTTCCTCTCCACCATCCAACTCTTAGATAGAGCTCAGCTTTTCTCGTGACCAAAAGCCAAACCCTAAACTTAGAGTGAGACAGCAGTCAGACAGGCTAGCATAGGTCCAAGATACAGGCGGACGGTAGCCCGCATCCCCTCACTAAAAAAAAAACCCACACCAGGGGATAAAAAAAAAAGAGCGTGAAAAGGGGTTACCACAAATAACATCCTAACCTAAATAAATAAAAATATTAGACTCTAGATAAAGAGTCTGCCAACATATTTTCTTTGCTGGCAATATATTTAATGGAAATATTATAGGGCTGCAGCCTTAGCGTCCAGCGCATGAGTCTTGTGTTGTGGTTCTTCATGGCTTGGAGATATACTAGAGGATTGTGATCACTGTAGACTGTGACCACCTGCGATGTCTGGCCCACATAAACATCGAAATGCTCCAAAGCCAGTACCAGCCGAGGGCTTCTTTTTCAATTGTAGAGTAAGCCCTCTGATGTGGCTGAAACTTGGCTGAAAAGTATGCTACAGGCTGCAACTCCTTGTTCCCGATTTGTAATAGTACTGCCCCAACCCCAGACTCACAAGCATCAACCTGTAATGAAAAAGGTTTGGAGAAGTCTGGAGACAAGAGAATGGGTGCAGTACACAATAATCTTTTTGCTTTATTAAAAGCAGTGTTACAGTCTGAGGTCCAATTAAAGGGAACTTTGTGACTGGTAAGAGAGGTAAGAGGGGCTGCAATATCTGAGAAATTCTTACAGAATCTTCTGTAAAATCCTATCATGCCTAGGAAACGTTGAAGAGATTTCCTATCATGAGGAACTGGATAATCTTTAATAGCAAAAACTTAGCAAGTTTAGGTGCAACTTTACCACTACCTACTTCATGGAATAGAAAAGTGATAGTGGCCTGGCCAAAGGAAGATTTAGATAAATTAACTGTTAAATGGGAACTCTTAAAGGTCTCAAAAAGAGCCTTAAGTCTAAGTAGGTGTTGATCCCAAGTATCAGACACCACAATATCATCTAGGTACGCTGCCGTGCCTTCAAGTCCTTTAATAGCCTGATGGATAAGTTTCTGGAATGAAGAGGGGGAATTTTTCATTCCGAAGGGGATAACTGTGTATTGATAATGGCCTCCTGGAATTACGAAGGCAGAGATTTCCTTCGCCTTATCCGTCAAAGGTACCTGATAGTAGCCTTTAAGGAGATCTAACTTGGACACAAAAGTAGCCTTACCCACAGTCAATTACGTCATCCAGACGAGGAAGAGGGTAAGCATCTGTAATGGTGACCTCGTTCACCTTACGGTAGTCTGTACACATACGAAACCCTCCATCAGCCTTCTTCACAAGGATGCATGGTGAAGCCCATGGACTAGATGACTCCTCCACTAAACCATGCTTTAACAAAAAATCTACTTCCTGCTGAAGTAGCCTTTGCTTTTCAGGATTAGCTCTGTAGGGGGAGAGTTTAATTGGTTTAGAGTTTCCCACATCTACATCATGATAACCTAACGTACATTTTTTCGGCACATCCGAAAAAATATTAGGATATGACTGTAGAAGCTCCGTTAAATTTGTTGCTTGGGTTTCAGATAATCCCTCCATTAAAGGGCTAGGATCCTTGAGGAGGACAGAATTTGAAAGTTTAATATTAATTTCAGAGATAGAGTGCAAAGAGTCAGAGGCGTCCTCAGAGGTAGAGGACAGAGTCATTACTGGGACTTTATCTGATGTATGGAAATACAGTGGACCCTCGACTAACGCTATTAATCCGTTCCTGAGAGCTCATCGTTAGTCAAAATAATCGTTAGTCAAGTTAATTTTTCCCATAAGAAATAATGGAAATCAAATTAATCCGTGCAAGATACCCAAAAGTATTGAAAAAATAAAAATTTTAACACATGAAATATTAATTTTAATACACACAAACTGAAGAAGACATGCACAGTTACATGACACTTACCTTTATTGAAGATCTGGTGATGATTGATGGGATGGGAAGAGGGGAGTGTGTTGATGGTCTTAGTGTTTAGAAGGGGAATCCCCTTCCATTAGGACTTGAGGTGGCAAGTCCTTTTTCGGGGTTCTATTCCCTTCTTTTAATGCCACTAGGACCAGCTTGAGTCACTGGACCTCTGTCGCACAACATATCTGCCCATAGAGGCCTGTACCTCCCGTTCCTTTATGACATTCCTAAAGTGTTTCACAACATTGTCAGTGTCACCATTAAACACTTGTTCAGGTTTCAGTCCTTCACTGTCTATGTACTCCTTGAATTCCTGCACATATTTTTCAGCTGCTTTTGGGTCCAAACTGGCAGCCTCACCATGCCTTATCACACTATGTATGCCACTACGATTCTTAAATCTCTCAAACCAACCTTTGCTGGCCTTAAATTCACTCACATCACCACTAGTTGCTGGCATTTTTCTAATTAAATCGTCATGCAACTTCCTAGCCTTTTCACATATGATCGCTTGAGAGATGCTATCTCCTGCTATCTGTTTTTCGTTTATCCATACCAATAACAGTCTCTCAACATCTTCTATCACTTGCGATCTCAGTTTCGAAAACATAGTTGCACCTTCGGCAAGAACAGCTTCCTTGATTGTTGTTTTCTTGGCCACAATAGTAGCGATGGTTGATTGGGGTTTTGTGTACAGCCTGGCCAGCTCGGAGATGTGCACTCCACTTTCATACTTAGCAATGATCTCTTTCTTCATATCCATAGTAATTCTCACCCTTTTTGCTGTAGGGTTGGCACTCGAAGCTTTCTTGGGACCCATGGTGACTTATTTTGCAGGTGCAATCACTAAAAAGGCTGTGATAATATGAAATGTTCCGATTGTATGCCTGGAAGCGACCGCGGTGGCTGGCCGGCTTGTAAACACTGGCCAGAAGTGGATGCGTCTCAGACGGAACGAAAAGTGTTGGTCGAGCTTTTTAGCGCTAATCGAGGCAAAATTTTTGTGATAAAATGTATCGCTAGTCAGATTTATCGTTAATCGATGCCATCGCTGGTCGAGGGTCCACTGTACTTTAATTGATTAATGTGGTAAGTTTTAGTTTTTGAGGTCTTATCAATGGGAGCTACCACATAATTTACATCAGATAAACTACTTACAATCTGCATAGGTCCCGTAAATCTAGCTGTCAAGGTGTGGCCAGGTATAGGTTCCTGCACCAACACCTTGTCTCCTGGATGGAAGGAGCGGAATTGTGCACTTCTGTCATACCTCTGTTTCATCTTACTTTGAGCTGTCTTTAGGTTAGCCTTGGCTAACTGACGTGCCACCTGCAACCTTGAAGACAGGTTGTAGAGTGATAAGCTAACGTCTTCTCCCATCCATCCTTCTTTGAGCACCTGAAGAGGACCTCGTACATTGTGCCCAAAGATCAGCTCAAACGGACTGATCCCTGTAGACTCTTGCACCGTCTCTCGTACTGAGAACAGCAACAAAGGTAGTGATTCATCCCAGTCTGTAGGAAAGTGCATGCAAAAAGTTCTCATCATTGTTTTTAATGTCTGATGGAATCTTTCCAAGGCGCCTTGGGACTGAGGATGATAGGCAGTGGATAAGTTGTGGATTATCCCTAACCTAGTTAATACTTCCCTAAATGCTTTGGCAGTAAAGTTAGTACCTTGATCACTTTGAATAGTTTTAGGAATGCCAAAACAAGAAATGAATTTGGTTAAAGCTTTGAGAATAGCTTTAGTATTAATACTACGCATGGGAATTGCTTCAGGGTATCTGGTTACTCACAATTATATCACATAAATGTTAAACCTAAAACCCAATCTAACTTTATTATTTTTTAAATACACTACCTAACAGAATACTCCATTCTACTGAATGTACAACAATGCATACAACCATATGACCTGTCTTTGTAATACTCACTTGTGCTTTATAGTAATCTGTTTACATTAAAGTTTTATCACCGATGTCATCATTGCTTAGTTCATCTTAAGTTAATTTTAAGCCAGCCCGTAATGCTATGCATAGTATAAGTGGCTTTGGCATACTGCTCTTTTCTGTATTTTTTGTACCTCTGTATGTGTGCACAAATTTTTAAATAAATAAATAAATAAATAAATAAATAAACTTTATCCATAATCGTAAATAAATATTGATTTCCAGACTTTGACCTAGGTAGTGGACCTACACAATCTATAATTAAATCTGCAAAAGGTTCTCCATCAGCAGGTATAGGTTGGAGAGGTGCAGGTTTAATG